GCGAAGTGAAAAATTCAAGCACCAGAAAAAGGATAGAAGTTGAAGACTGCAAAAAAAATTGGATAGATGAACTGAAACAGAGCAGTAGGGAATGAAGAGATATAAATGGAAGAAAAAAGCAAGGTATTTTAAAATACTGTTGTGTTGAGAGTGGCATGTTATTGCATGTACTTCAATTTGTAGAAAATTAAGTAGAGAGGGTGACAAATGTGAGCATGTACAAGTGCTTTTGTAGAAAAGGAAAGGGCAAATCAATCAGAAAGTCACTCCAGTCTGGAACTGTGAACATTACAAGCATATTGTCAGAAGACTGTCAGATTCAATTTGCAAATGACTCAGCACAACAAAGAATAAATAACTAGCAAATATAATTCTTCAATCCATGCTTTAGCCCACATGAATGAACAGCTATGTCCTACTGACTTCAGCACCTGTAATCTTAAGCAATCAGATACAGAGGACATCACCTACTTGGGATGAAGTTTCTGCCTGAGGTCATACTGGTTGGGCTTTTACTCAGCTGTAAAATGGAACTACAGTCTCTGACAATGGGTCTGCTTCAGCCTCAGAAAAGCTATTTAACTTGTTCCTGCCCGGTAAGAGTAAGAACTGTAAATATTCATGAAGCCTGTCTGCAAAATGCCTCAGGAAACGAAGCTCAGAGACGGTGGATATTATGATCCATTCTTGCAATACGTTAACATGTCAAAAATGCACCGCAGAGGAGACAAACCCAGGACCAGCTCCAGCCTTTTATTTAGACCCCCCACCCCCCCTCTTCCCTGTTCATGTGTCAATGCCAACACATTATTTTAATTTCACTGTCTCATGAAAGCAGAACAAATATGAGATTGCCAAATGACCAATCCTGTATATGAGAACAGCTCCGGAGAAGTAGCTCAGTGAATAGTCAACAACAATTTTTCTTCACATTGCAATGACTTTTGTGTGGCAGAAGATTACTTCCTAATGGAGTATTGAACTGTCTCCAGGAGCACCTGCCATGCCAATGAGGATAATCTTATACCAGCATCAGTGCACTTATTACTGTGTCTTTGCTGATACAGTAGCTTCAGGCAGCAGTACAGTTTTTTCATCTCTGTTTCTGAGTGTCTCTCTGCAGTAGCTTTTAGCTTAACATTACGTTCATTCTCTAGGAAAATGTTGCTATTCAGCAGATACACAACACTTGGGAGCATTTGCAAGGGAGGTTCTATGCACAACCTGTCACACATAATTCCATGAAAACTGAGCTTTGCAATCCTACGGTGCTGCAGTTTCCTTCAGAAATTTTTCTCCCTTCTTCACTGAGAGAAACTGTACCAACAATCTCAGCTTGGTGCTGGTGAGTGTTCATTCCTAGACCTGCAACTTGGAGAGAATTCAAAACACCAGAAACATGATTAAGAGGCTATACCAATTGACTCAGAGGAAAGATTAAAAGTCTGAAATACATCTGGCTTGTGTTTAAGATGGCTTATCACAGATACCAAATAATGTTAAAACTCACTAGAATAATTGCTCTCCACCTGTGTAGTGCCAACAGGTTGTTACTCAGAATAATGAGATGGAGTCAGTAAAAATGAGAACTAAGCCTAGACACTAGGGAAGAGTGAAGAATTGTCTTCCCCAAAGGGAAAGACCGAAACTGTGACAGTTACTTGGGTCTGGGAAGTATCTCAGAAAATGACACTGGCCCGGGTTGCCCAGAGAAACTGTGGATACTCCACCCCTGAATGTGTTCAAGGCCAGGTTGGATGGGGCGTTGAACAACCTGGTATGGTGGAAGGTGTCCCTGTCCAGGACAGGGTGGTTAGAACTAGGTGATCTTTAAAGTCCCTTCCAGCCCAAACCATCCTACAAATCTATGGAAATGTCTAGTAGAGAACAATAGCACAACTATCTGTGGGGAGACTAAGTAACCTAATAAACTTTTTCCATCTATAACTTCTGCAACTAAGCAGCAGCTTCCTGATTTTAGTATTGGCTATTTGTTGCTCTCCAGCTTTCTTTCATCAGTGCTAAAAAGCTCAACGGAGTTAATAAGTGTTCTTCCATGTATGAGGAATTCCCCAGTCTTGGTCCAATACCCATATGGAGGAAAACTTTCCCAGTTACTTCAGTTGCACACATGGCAAGTCATAGGATTTATTTATTAAAAAAAAAAAGTTTAGAAAGCACACCTTTTTAATGAAGGGTGTTATTAACTTGCAATTTAGTAGCTCATAAAATTTCAAGAGTAGACTTTGGTGCCTACAGTTTTCTCCATCACAAGCTTATAAAATTTTCTTAAATGTCTGACAAGGTAAGTGTCAGCCAGTGTCTCTCTGTTGCAAAGCTAAATCTTCCTTTGCCTTGTGATCAGAGTAGAATCTGTAATCTAAGAAATCACTTTGGATTTCAAGTGCAAAAGCACCAGACAAATTTGTACTGGGTCAGGTGCAGCTAAAGCAGAGCGGGACCAGGGCTGATGCCCCAGAGAGCTCCCATGTGCCAAGAAAGAGTGAAGGAGATTAAGAAGGCAGCTACATTAAAGTGGCCTGAGATGGTTCAGGTCTTTCTTTATTGAGAAAGAGAATTGCCTTGCCAGACAAGGAGGTGAAGACGTGGTACAAGTTGTGTCATTTCACCTTCATGAAGTTATGCAAATGACTGCGCAAGGTCTCAGGGAGAGCCAGAGCTCAGAGGCTTCTCGATCTGTGAGGTGGCTGAGAAGTGCTTTCCTGAGGGAGTCACAGAATGAACTGATAGAAAGCTCAAAGCTAAATCCACACTTGCCAGCCTTCGGTTTGTTATGGGAACATTCATTACAAAAACTCATCTCCATCCATGCCTTTTTTTTTTTTTTCTACCCAACAAAGCGCTTGACTGAAGAGATGTTGACTTTATGAAGGTTAAAGGTGGCTGCCTCGACCAACAAATGGGTTTTAAAGCAGGAGGGGAGAGTTGTTGTTCTTTCTCCCCTCAGGAATGAGGTGTCAGGAGGAGGCGGAGGCCGGGCAGGCCCCTGCGGAGCGGCTGAGCGGCAGCACCAGCTGCAGAGGGTGCTGGAGCGGGGCAAGGCCCGCGGGGTCTCACGTTTGGGAAGGGGACGCCATCTCCTTTTCCCACAGCGGGAGCTGGAGGAATAACAGAGAGGCTTCCCTTGGGAAAAACGGGGTCCAACCAGTTTAACTCAGAGTGCGAAGTGATGTGGAGGAGCTGAGCCATGGCCTGGAGACAAACCTCTGCTCAGGCCTCGTGGGGATCCTGAGTGGGAGCCTAAAGCCACTCCTGGCTGTGGTGAATATTAGAGTAATGGACAATCCTCCCTTCTCTTCTGTTCCCCCAGGTGCATGCGCAAGGACATAACATAAATGCTTGCATAATTAGCTAAATCATTTTATAGACTGACAGTAGGATTGCAAAACAACGGACCTAGACTTGAATTCTTACAAACCCCTAATAACCTGTGTGATGGATGTGCAGGAGTGTTGTGTGTATGACAACATACACACAGAGAATCTAAATTAAATACTTTGCTTTGGCAAAAAAGTTGTGGACTCTGACTTAGATTCTGCCAGTGCCTGGAACATTTGCAGCATTCATTAATTCATTATAACCTGGCCTTTCAGAAAAAGAGCAGTCTGGGGATTTTCCTCCTGCCAGTGAGTATGAAATACGTTTTAATGTTTATCCTCTAATATAACACAGCAACAGATTTAAATACTTAGCAGAGGTCTTCCTAGAGAATGAATTAGGTACAAATATTTAGTATTTTGCAAGAAAGTCAGGATTCACGTGATAGAACAGAATTTGGTGTTCTTGTTAGAAAGAGCTGGACTAAACACATTTGATTCCTTGGAAAAAGTCAAGCTCAAGAACCAACAGATACAACAGGATAAGCACACTTTTTTCTTTTTTTTCCTCTTTTCCCCTGATTCCTGGCAATGTTACAATTCTGAGTTCTACAGAAGCCAAATAAAAGTATCACTTAAGCTGCTGTGGAAATGAAGGCTCCGTGTCCATCTGCTAAATCTCTGTGTCTATGAGAGAACACAAAATCCAGCACAAATGGTGGGAGAAGGGAAAGAGGCGCACACAACGTACAGCAAGGCCCGGGGGGATAAGTATTGGAAATGGTTGCAAGCAGATTATGGAAACATGGAACACATACACATATAAATTGTCATTAAAAACATAGAGAACAACCTTGAGAGAAGTTACAGTAACCCTAGCGTAGCAGGGTTGTGGGCATTCCCAGCTGCCACACTTCTGCGAAAAAGGGATTGAGAACAGATTCCCTGTTAATGTCTTTTCAACTGTGATGGCTCTAGGGTCTAAGAATCTGCTTTCTGTTAGGAAAAACTATAAAACTTTCAACAAAAGATGAAAAACATGTCTTCCATTGGCATAAAAGCAGGAGATTTCCTTGCAGGAAGGAGTGGCATATTGAAAATTCCCTGGAAAGTAGAATACAGAAAGTATAACTGCCACTGGCAGCAAACTCGGCAAATACATGTGTTACAAAGCTAACAAAACAAACAAACAAAAATCACTCAAGACCTTGCCTGTGTGAACAAGGCAGGTTTACTTTTTTTTTTTCCTAAATTTGGGATTGGGGCTTAAATTATATATAATCAGTGAAGTCTTTCTTACTTTTATTTCCCACTTTAGCTCTTGAAATTTGGCATCTGCTGAATTCTGTGTTAGGGCTTTTTCCAAATCCAGGACTTGGGGAATTTTATTAACAGTGCAATAAAAATAACTTCATAGTGTTACAAGGAAACATTAAAGCCTTTTTTGTGCACTGCTCTTTCCCTTTTAAAAAAAATACAGACATTGTTTCTTTAAAAGGCTCCATCTGCAAATCCCATTAGATGTGCATATAAGGTTTCGGATGATTAATAGTTGCCTGCTTTGCTTTGGTTGGAGGGACTGAGTGTATGTACGTTAACCCCTCCCTCCCCTCTCTCACATTTCACTTCACAAACTTGTCACACTCTCCCCAGCACAGTATTTAAAAAGTGTTTCACTCATGTCCAGCCCTTCACAAGGAACAAGCTTCAGGCCTTGGGAAGCAATTCAGGGCAAACGCTGCATAGACCGTTTTCCAGTCTGGACAATGAAGACATTGAGAAGAGTTCCCAAAGTAACAAAGCTGCAACAGCATAAAACCCACAAACAATCTGTTGCTTAGGAAGGAAATCTATTCCGTAAAATTTGGAAGATTTCCCATCTGCTCCTCTTCTGATTTTTGAAGCCTAAACTGTAACTAGTCACAAACACTGGAGTGTGGACAGGACTGGAAGCGAATGGATCCCACCAGCAGCAGCTGCATGCGCAGTCCACAGCCTCCTGCCCCGCTCTGGGGGTGCCTGCGGAGCACCCACGCGGACGTCACCACAGCTTCAGGGCTGAACCACTACCCGCCAGCACCATTCTCCTTCCATCAAAAATCAGATTTTGCTACTTACTCTGATTTCTCCACCTCCTGCCTGGTGACTGCTCCCCATAGCTTCCCACGTGAGGAGCGGGCGTTTGTGGAGCAGCACCCCTCCTTCCAACACTCTGACTGGCATTTTGCAGCAACTGAGGCCAGAAGACGACTAAACCCAGGACTGGCCTTGGGTTCTGGGGAGTCAGAAGGCAGCAGCCCAAATCTAGTGAGTGCAGCAGTGGGTATGAATGAAGATGATGAGGTACCAGTAAATACTACAAGTGAGACTGAGAAAAAGTCATCCAAAAGAAAAAAGGAAAACTCAGGTAGGTGATATGAAATCAGGGTTGTGGGATAGTACAGGCTATAGAATGAGAGCCCCTGTAAGATCAGGAATTAAGAAATAAAGCTGATGAGGAAAACATTTTGTAATTCTTGACTGGGGAAACTTACACAATAACACTGAAATTAAATGACTTATTCCTTGATGACCTCTGGTGTTTGTATTTCACTCCTGCAGATCTCCTTTACTGAACCAGGCATTTTACTCACCAGCACAATGCACATTTGCTGTAAACTAAACAGGAATCACATGGCATGTATAAACTGAGCTGAAAGTCCTAGGATGTGGAGTTATATATTGCATAGCTGCTATTTGTCCAAGCATAAGAGAACGGCAGTCATCTTGAGCTGCCTGTGCTAGTTGGAAATATACCAGGATTTTGACATCTCAGTTTATGGTAAGAAGTACAAGATACAAAGTCTCCCTTTAGATATAAATTCTATTTGGCTTCACTAATTATTAAAAGTTTTTACCTCAAAACAGGCGCTACTAAAAGTGTCCACATTGGTACAATGTCCAACAATGCAAAAAATGTACATAGTTTTCATTGTGCCATCCTCATTAACAAAACATGTTCTTTCTACAGCACAATATTCAGTTATTTCATAGTTATATAACTTCTGATTTGTTGCTGTCTCTAATCCAGGTGTGTGAAATATGCATAAAATTGTTTTCTCCTAAGGAAGCTGTTAAAAATTAAGATGCTTATAGGCATTCATTTGCTATAGTATTCATTTACGAGCTACAGATTGCTTTTCCCCACAACACTGCTATGAAGCGGGAAGTGTTTTCCAGTATCCACATTTTACAGGTAGAGAACACAGCAATAAAAATATTTATTTATTTTTAGGTTTTACAGGTTGGCTAGAGAAGAGCCACCTCTAATGCAACTTTCATATTGCAGTTTAAACAACAAGCTTGTATTCGTGCTCTCTCTGTCACACAATTAGTCCTAATCTTTGTTGTCTTCCCATATGAATAGGTTGTCAGGGAACACATAAAATAACTAACATTCCAAACGTCTTTATGCCCAGAATCTAGTTTACTCCTCTTGGTTACCTGTTTTTTCCTTTAGAAACTCAGCTTTGTAGAATTTAAGTTAATTTCAACTGAAAAAAACATTGAAGCAAAAATTTCCCAAAAACCCAAATGCAAAGAAGTTTGCTTTGGTTTTAAATTTAATAGAGAATGATGCTTTTATTATAACATTTGCTAGTCATAAGTAAACAGCAGATTTCAGTATATTCAGAGTGATATTCTTATTCTTAAAGGGACTGATTCCAAAGCACATCTCCCTGTTTTAAGTAGAAGACAAATGTTCATTCTATTCTCTGTTACCAGCACCCTTGACATTTTCTTTTCATACTTGCTTCTGTCCCATATACTTTTCCTTACAGGGGAACTGTAAACAATGACATCACTGGAAGGCATGGTGTTTCCTACTTTTTAGCAACTGTTGCTGTCTGTACAAGTTGTTATTCTAGCAAATGCAGAATAATGAAAGCATCCCAAAGAGGGATTCCATGGCTTTTCATTTCACTCCCTTCTTTGCTTACCAGACAGCAGATAGAATTATTTTATATCCCTCCTGCAAGCTTTTCATTCCTTCTGTCCCCACACAAAATAAAACAAATGAGGGGAAAGTCTGCAAGCGATTTTATTGGGATTTCCTTCACTTTTACAGCAGCATTATTCCAGAAATGCAGCTGGACCTATCACATCCTGATTGTTTATTCTAAGTGGAACATGTCTGTCTTCTCCTCTTGAGAATTTTCCTTGACTTCTTTAGAAAAATCTAGGTACCCAATGCCTTCTCTTCAGAGATTGGGCTAGTAAAGGATAATATATTAAAATCACTTGAAGGCAAAACCTACAAAATAAACTGTTTTCTTTTAGTTGGTTCCATATCCACCACAATTTTACCCGAACTGCAATATAGATACAGAATTACCATGTCTTGTAGTAGTACATGCAAAAACAGTTGGTTCTTGTGAGGGCCCTAGTTATTACAAGATACACAGGGAAGATCTTGGAACATGGCTCTTTGCAGAATATTCTTAGAAAAGTCTAAAATAAGCTAATTTCTCTGACAAATAAGCAGAATACCGTAAAAATAACAAACCTTGTCAGTCTTTAAAGCTTTCTTTAGAACATGGATATATTAAAAACATCTAAAGAATGGCTTTGTTATGACAATAATAACAGTGGCATCTACTACTACAAGTACTCATGGATGAACACACACACCTTTCCCTTCCTCTACAGACTTGAGTTACTTAAATGCCATATTCAGTCTTGACTTCACAGGCTCACCAAACTACCTGAAGATAGAAGTTAACCTAGTGTTAGCTTTCACAGCTGCCTCTGCTGTCCATTGACCAGGCACAGCCATTAACATTTTCAAATAAAGTTTCTGCCTGTGTTTCTAAGCTTGTGATTCCCATTTACAGTCATGGTGACATAAAAATGGGATTAGATGGATGGAGCTTTGAGCAACCTGGTCTGGTGGGAGGTGTACCTACTCAGGGCAGGGGGGTTGGAACTAGATGGTCTTTAAGGTCCCTTCCAACCCAAGCCACTCTGTGGTTCTATGAAGAAGCAGTAGATAAGAGCAGAGAGCAGCAGGTAGCAGCAGATAACCTGAGAAGGACTGAAAAGCAAAGTACAGGCAAGTCCCTGATCAGTTTAAAGTGGTGTCTGGGTGCAGACCTGTCACGTGTCATAGCCCTCTGTATGCACCCTCCATTGAGCATTATGCCACAAAGAGCACATTGAAGTAACTTCTGGATACTTTATCATCAGCTGCCAGACGAATCTACTATTTATGAGGTCGCTTTACTTGGCTAATGTTCCTGATAGCTTTCAGAATTTTATCTTCCACAATAGCAAGATCTATCAGTGTCTTACTACTTGATTTAACCACTTAGAATAAACATGCTCTCAACCCAGTGAGGGAGAGTCAGCGCTACTTTGCGAGACGAGATGCTGATTCAGTTATGCCAGTTGTAAGCACAAAGCAAAGCTGACTTCTGTTGATCAGCTCCAAATGCTGAATTCGGCCCATTGTTTTACAGGGAACAGGTTGTTTCTTCATACACACATGTACGTATTAGTGCCTGACACTGTTTCTGGTTTGGAAACTTTATAGCATAGGAACATTTACCATTTGGGTTCCTACACATATTTTGCTGCAGCCCTGGCAAAAAACAGCTGTTCAATTCAACCACAGAATGAAACTGGTTGGGGTCCTGGAAGTGTGCATGCATCGTGGTAGAAACAGATCTTCCTGTGATTCCTGAGCAGCATTTTTTAAAAAAAAAACAAAACAAAACAAAATACCACTGGCAGTACAGTAGGAAAATCTTTCCAAGCTGATTTGCTCTTTCACACATTTGCCATTTTCCACATTCTGTTGACAAAACTCTGAAGCAACCAGGTCCAATTTCCACTTTTGGAATATCAGAAAACCTCCAGCCATGAATAACCGTATGTCTCTTTACAACACCATGTGGCATGCAGCCTGGGTGACAGGATCCAAGCTACACATCCTGCTCTCTTCCCAGAAATACTTAGCTACTTAAAATTATTCACATTGGTTTTTGGAGATGAATATTGGTGAAACTGCCCCTTAGAAAGGATGTGCTTTGCACAAGGGCTAAGTGCTAAGCTCACATGTATATTCATGTTGTATTAGCTGTTTTTATCCCAGGTTAATTTGACAGAAGTGGCTTTAGTTGCTGCAGTGTGTTACTGGCATTGAAGTGCTGCTTCACCCCTCCGTGTGTTTGCTCGGGGAGCAGAGACCCAGGGGGAAGCCCTCCCGAAGCTGGTGGCAAAGTTCCCAGCAGGGGATCCACACTTCAAATCCCATTTCCCCACCACTCTCTCAAAAGTCACATTTGTTAGCCTTTGGAAAACATGGAATGGTGTGTTTGTTCAGTAAGAGATGAGAATGAAGGGGATTGTACAACTATGGCCAAAAGCATGGGGAGAAACTTCTGGGGTTTGTTTTCATATTTTCCCCAAATTTATTTGGGGATTTTTGAAGTATAAGTAGCAAGAACAATGCTGATGCAAACAAAACTAATTTCCTCAAAAAGGAGAGCAGTACCACTGCAGCATGTGCTACACTGGTCCCTGTGCACGTTATCACTAACAGGAGCTGTGTTTGATTTCTCTATTTCTGATGGACAGAGCTAAGAGCAGATCAGTCATGAAGCCCACAGCCACACCTGATAGATTTTTCCAGCTTTCTTAGTTTGGCAACCAAAGGGATATCTAGAAGATGCTGCTGTGTGTCATGCTCATTGCTACCATTTTGCACATCATTTCTATGTAGAAATATTATGCTGGGACACCCAGAACTTTGTTGTACACTGGTTACGCACAAAAAATAAGTAATTAATCCTCAACAGTTCAGGGAATCTAGCCACCCATAGGAGGAGGGGAGAAAGAATCGAGAAACTTGTAAAACTGGTTCCCTGAAAGATTGGCAGTTTGGGATTTGCTCACTGAGACAAGTGCATTTTATGTGCATTGCTTGGAGATTCTTCACAAGCACCAATTTTAAAAACACAGGAGAAAAAATAAAATTTAAAAAAAGAGAGAAGAAAAAAAAGGAGAAAAAAGGAACAGTCTCAGGCAAAGTCAGTTTCTGTTTGCTTTTTAGCACTTTTTAGGGTGCAGCATCCCTTGGGCTATTGCTTGAGATTTGGCTTTGCGATATGAGACTTGACCACATCGCAGCCAAGGGCACAAATAGCATAAAAGTCTTTCAGGTCAGCACGGTGACAAGGATGATGCTGAGGCCAATCACGCACACAGATACCAGATCTTTGTGTAGTTTCCATTTAGCAAAGATTAGAAGAAGTTCAAAGACTGGAGTATCGTGTGCCAATTCTTTGATTCTATGAATTCAAAGAACGCTGCACTGGTTCTCTGGTGTTGCTTCTTTGACCATGTTCCCCAACCACCCCAACACGAACAAGATCTCCAGGCTGTATGTTGGCATAGGGAGCTCATTAAGTGACTTTACCTTCCACCCTGCACCCTGAGGTCCTCTCCACGCACTCGTAAGACATCACACATCATATACACAAAGTAGTGCAAGCTTTGCTGCCTGTTGGCTTGGTAGATCAGGGGAGAGGGATAATGTGTATACAAGGCATGAAAGTAAAGATGTGGGGAAGGAAATTATTTTGATGCAATGATAGCAAGGAATGAGAGCTGCTCATTTCTGACCTTGCAGACCTAGGCCTGCGCTTCTTCAGGTTTGACAACCCACCCCCTTCCTGACCCTGAGCTGTCCCACCCTTGCCCCCTGGAACCCAAGACTGGCAACACCATTAAGTCACGCTGAGCTTGCAGGAACGTAACACAAACGTCTTAAAACTTCCACTTTGCACTTCAATTAGTACTTTATATCAGACCTCTGCAATACACACATCCACACAGATCAGCATAACTACAAATTACACATGTGTGTTTGCCTCTTAGAAAACCAGAACTCAAGCAACAAGTCAGAAACAAGCAGCAAATCACGGAAGGAAAGGACAGCTTTCACAAAGGAGCAGCTACGGGAGCTGGAAGCTGAATTTGCCCACCATAACTACTTGACAAGGCTCAGGAGATATGAGATAGCTGTGAACCTGGATCTCACCGAGAGACAAGTACTTCCCAAATCCCTGCCTCCCTAGCTTCTTCTTCCTCCCCTACAACTTCTCCCTAAAGCTAAAAACCAGATACGTTAGTCAAGGTGTACTTTTGCAATGGCACAGAGGTATTTTAATACAAAGCCTCCGCGTTCCTTTAAAGCACATTTGTTACAAATTTCTTTTAGTAGTTAATAAATGCAATTATATTTATCTAAACTAAAGACACATTTGGGAATAACTGATATTTAACAAGCTGTTGCTTACCACCACTCATTGGTTCCTGCTGATATGTCCAGGCTTACAGATGGAATATGGGTATCAGCTTAGACTGCGATTACCAGGAAGTTATTAGAATGATATATATTTATAGAATGATATATATTCTTCCTGGGTCAGAGAGTATTTTGAGGTGGTAAGAAAAAATTCAGAGTTCTGTGGAGAGAGATATTTCTGTTCCCTCATTGTGATCTTAGTCTCCCAAAGCACTGGATTGGATGGACTAGATGTTAAAAGACATTAGATGCACTGTGCCCACTGGATTAACATGCTTAGTTGACATAAAGACAGATTCTAGGCAAAGTACTTGTACTACCTTTGCGGGTCTCAGAGAAACATCTGTCTGGAACAGTTTAGAAAGATTTGTTCCTGCCTTTGTTAGAGAAATGGATTACTTTAACTTGTGAGGTTCCTTTCACCTTTTCTTCTAGAACTCCACAAAACCTCTGTCTATTGGTACACACATATATGCACAGGTCTACTTATACAGCTCAGATTGAGGCAATAAGTAATTATTTCCTTTCTATCACCCAGGTCAAAGTATGGTTTCAAAACAGAAGGATGAAGTGGAAACGTGTTAAAGGTGGGCAACCAGTGTCCCCACATGAACATGACACAGAAGATGTGGACTCTGCTGCCTCCCCCAGCTCTGACTAGTTCTTGCCGCAATGGGAGAGGAGTATGGAGAAAGTAATTGATCAGAAGGTGGATGCAACACTGCTCAGGGTCAGCTACACCATGAGATGAGCCTGCTTGCAAAACCTGCAGCCCTGAATCTTTAAAAGATGTGCGATGCTTTAGGTTACAGCGGCAATTAAAGGACGCACGGGGAAAAAAGCCAAAGGAGGGCATGGTTTTGATTTTTGTCTGAATGAATTTCACTTTCTCTTGAATTGTCTTTCTACCACAGGTGTGTCTTCAGAATAAAAGCTAAAAAACACTGAAGATAAAACGGGAATAATATTGTCTAGGCTCTCAAACACTCAGAAAATACAGGTTGTCCGTCAGCAAGTGATAATGCAACTGCGTTCTCATCCAGCGTTTCCCTGCTCACATCTATTCATTCTACATTTGGACTTGACAAGGCATGTTTTCCTTGTGCCTTTAAGAGAAATAAATAGTTTGATAGTCTCTGTTTTTCTTGCAATATGCATCGAACACCTGTATGACTAGGCAGTAAGATCACAAAATAAAAATTTGAGACCAAAAGTATATACACGGGATTCTGCTTACCAGTTTCAGAAGAGAAGAGAGGGCTTTCATGTTGTGACAGTCCAAGATGACAGGTGCCTTGTTGATGGTAACAATTTGCAGAGGAAGAATTCTTCCAAGCTGACTGTAAATCCTGAAATTAAATTTTTATATCTCAATTTCAAGTATCTTTTCAAAGCAATAATTACCAAATGTCACAGCAGGTACAGCAGTAAGCCCTCAGCACAATAGCTATCACTGGGGTTGTTTTCAACATTTAAGTCTATAAAACTAAAGGAAAGCTACTCTTTAGTGCTACATTTCTTTTGGATTTATGGAATCTCTCTGGAAACCCATGGTTTTCTTTGCAAATTCAGGATTGTCAGGAGAAGCAGAAAACAATGTTATTTAGAGTGATTTGACTGAGTTTACTGTCTACAAATTCTCATTTCATTTTTCATTAGAGACAAAACTTTCATCTGAGTGAACACATATAAGAACATCTGCTAGTCTAGATATTGTGTAGATTTACACTCATTACTTACTTTCTTCTAAATCAGTATCTGGATTTACGAAATCTACAGTTAGGTGACCAAATTAGCCCTTTTTGCAAACTTCCTATTAATAGGTTATTTTTGTGAATTTTTTTTTTTTTTTTTTGGTGTTTGGAACTGATCAAATATTTCATACAAACAAATAGTAGCTGTGCTTTTCAAAATATAAACATATTTTGTCTTTGATCACCTCTGCTTTTGACAGAATTTGAGGACACCAAGAAACTTTACCACTGATCTTTAAAGCTACGAGAGCTGACACAGCCCACTGCCCATATTTCTGTCATAAATAATATGTAAAAGCAGCTTTCCAATAGAGAATCACAAACTGCCACAGCACCACCAGAAATCTTAAGAACACTTCCACTTGAAATTATCTCCTCTTTCAGCCAAAATTTGTAGTAGATCAAGTTATTAAGTTTTAGAACAACATAGTGTCTGTTTCCATTTCATTTGTCTTTTTATGTAATGTACTAATGCCATATTTCAAACAGAATTTTAGACTAGCGTATCCCATTATGACTATTGAGAACACTGAAACTTCAGTTTAAATATTTGAAAGGCATCATTATTTACAGCTATAGCTTCCTTTCATCTTACTCTGATGCATTGTTATCAGGGTTTAACGTGGACTGCAGAAATGCTGGATATAAAGTTGTAAATCTGGATGATATGTTTATAGAGTTATCTGTGGTCATCCCACTTGTAAAAGACCTCAAAATAGATAAATACCATTTTTTTTCCTTTGAAACAGAGTTGCTGTATTCTTTTTGAAGAACTGATTACTGTATCTACTAAGAAAACATCCATTACATTCGTTCTTTAACAATTCCAAACTATTTGACAGATGAAAAATTGACAGCTTAGAGTATATATTCATGCAAAACCGATTAAAAACAAAGAAATATTTCTTAAAAGTAAATAATTAAAAATAAAGAAACTTGAGAATTGAAAAGCTATGCAAGGTATTTGTATACCTTTGTATACCACTTCAAACCAAACCCAGGGGTGGAATGGAGAAAGGATAACGTTTCATTAAAAAAAGAGAGTCATTAACTCTATTATGTATTTGACAAACCGAAGACTGAGAATTCTTTTAGTCTTACATGGCAACAAGGAAACATCAGGATGTCCTTACTGATGTTTATGCACAAGGGCCTTGATTTGCAGGACATTCCTTATTGACTTGAGGGACAAGGCACCTTCCAGCTGCAGCTCCTGGCCACCCACCAGCTGGCAGGACAAGGGAGCCATGTTGCTGGGTGGTTTCCCACACCACCCTGCTTGCAGCACGCCTACAGCTCTTACCCACCACACTATGAACAAAACAAAACAACCCTCCCCCAAAAAAAAGGAGAGAGAAAAAAAGAAAAGAGAAGAAAATTGCATCACTGATGTTCCTGCACAAACTCTGCTGTGATCACAACATGGATGCAAATACATGCAAGTCCTGTGAGTGCGTTCACAGATGAGCATCCTATTACTTCTCAGAGCAGCTGCACAGGTATTTGACAAGCAATCTTACCCCTGAAGAGTCCACCTCTCTCCCTGCAACACAAGTGTGCACTTAGTCACCATCAGCTTAAACGAATGCTGCATTTGATACAAATTAATAAATAATCAGCTAAAATAACTAGGAGTATGCAGGTCCCCTCTCTGAGCTACATCTACTCAAGTCTCTTCAGATCTTTATGGCAAGGAAACTCTACCCTCCGTTTCCTCCCGGGACATTTGTGGGTGAACAGTGCAGTATTTTGATGGCAGACCTCGCAGACAGGCAGCTATGGCCAGATCCCAATCGCTCCAGCAGCAATAAACTGAGGTGTACACTATGATGAAAGCAGCCCTGCAGTTTCTTTCAGAATTAGCAGCTCTCCCTTTCCACCTCCTAAGGCCAGGTATGATCATGTCTTCCTGGGTGTAGGGGAATGACACCAAACATTAATCTCTGCTGAGATGCTGCTCCGCTGTAGAAACAACGGTCTCTGTCAATGTAACATGGAAAAAACCTAGTCTGCCATTTTTCTCTTTCCACTGGATACACCTTATCACATAGCCAGAAAAGCCTAGTGTTTTGTTAAAGAGTGCAAAGGTTAACGCACACCAGATGGCAAAGAAATGTATTTCTGTGGAAGCTGGAGAAGTGTTCAGCTGAAAATACATCAGGCTGGAAATCTATGGAAGAACGATCAGAGGTTTCTCAGCATTTTATACAACAAAAAAAACCTGGACCAAACACAAACAAGCGAAAGTCCTACTGCCTCTTAAAGGTCTCTAGAGCTGTCATGTCTCATGGAGCATCACATACATTTTATATAACATAGGTCAAGGAAGGACAAGTATCTAAAGGGTGGGTTGAAGGATAATGGAGCCAGACCCTTTTCAGTGGTTCTCAGTGACAGGACGAGGAGCAAGAGGCTCAAGCTGGAACATGGGAAGTTCCATTCAAATATGAGAAAAAACTTCTTTACAGTGAGGGTGGCAGAGCCCTGGAACAGGCTGCCCAGGGAGGGTGTGGAGTCCCCTTCTCTGGAGATCTTCAAGCCCCACCTGGATGCTCCTGAGTGATGTGCTCTGGGCAGCCCTGCTTTGGCAGGTGAGTTGGGCTGTATGGTCTCTAGAAGGTCCCTTCCAACTCCAACAATTCTGTGATAGGTAGGTCTATGGGCAGCTTGAGAATTTGTATGTGCATGATGCTGTGGAGACACGTAAATCCCTCACTCAGGGCATTGTGCTGGCTGCTGAGCTCACACACATCCATTTTAGCCTTACCAAAAGAATACTGGGAATTATGTGCTCATGTTTAGCAATGACTAGATTTTTAGGGAGAGTGAGCCGTTATTACTGACACAAAAGCAGTGGATTTGGGGATGGCAAGAGGTCCACTCGATCACCTTTATCTCATGTTTATATTGTCATCCAAAACAGACTTCCTCCCCTCCTAGCCAAGAACTCCTGTGCTCCCACCTTTCAATAGCCTTTCACATCCCAGAAACTGGGAAACAACTAATTCCATCTGTTCACAGATGAAACAGGTCTGGGGTCACAGAGGTGTCGTGATGCTCCCTGTTTGGCACACAGGGTGCTGCAGGAAACTCCCAGAGCACCTGGGTGGCACACGAGGTGCCCGATAGCTGTTGAAAGTGCACATTTCCCCTCCAGTTCTCCAACCTCCCACCCTCTCATGAGCTAATGAGTCCTTAAAGACCCCACGTGGACAGTCCTCCTGATTGGGGATGCATGGAGTGACTAAAGGAATCAAACTTTTCAGTTCACGCTGTCTGGAAAACAAGAGCGCCCTTTTAGGAAACACTTCACAGCCAGAGATTTTGACGGGGTCATATTCTACATAAACCAATCCTACAAATCCTACTTCCAGTAGAATTTCCTACGCACGGAGACAAGCACACACGACGGATCAGGGCAGCTTACAGAACAGACACAATTTTTCAATTACCCCACTTTATTCCCCCGCCTCTAGCAGTGCTCATATTAAGTTTCATCAGCCACTATCTCATATTTTGGGTAATTCTCTTCCCTTGAGGAAACGGTGCAGGCCCTTCAAGAAATATTATATGTCTGCGTTAGTGACTGGGCTCTGCATACTGGATCCGTGCAGCACTTCCAGGCAGATAGACAGGAAATCCATTTTCTTCCAATGATTACAGTAGAAGAGCTTCTGTCTGACTGGAACTTGCCTGGTGTGGCTGTAAAATAATCTCAGCATCAGGCTATCACCTTTCAGGCTATATTTGTGAATTATGATGGAGCAGTTTCCACTATAGTACTGGGTACAGGCAAGTGTCTGCAGAGCCTGACAGCTTCTTATCCTCACCCTCCCCGCACACAATGCCACATTGTTTTAATTTCTACACAAAGGAAGGATTTTCATCCAGGACCGGACTTTCTGTGAGTAACAGAGGATGGTGACTTCATACCGTGGAGATTTGAGTCATATTTCTGTCTTTCCTTTTTAGAGAAGAAACATTTTTCAAGCCTCCCTCAATTACGCCACGGGTTCTTGGCTTTAGAGCAGGAAACAGGCATGTGAAACAGGCATGCTTTCTTACAGGCTTTAATTTCTAATTCAGTGAAAGTTTCCAATGCCCCGCACTCATACCCTGTCATCTGTGACCCAGAATCCCAAAAGCAGAGTATTTCCTACACTTGAGAATTTATCACCAGTTGAGCGTTGGCGCAGCGAAGCTACAGCGAGGTCAGTGATGGAAGAGACAGCAGAGAAAGGATTGTTTCCTCCTTTCAATACTCACCACAAACATCATTTTATACTTTCATCTACTTTTCATTTTATATTTCTGTATTTTGACTCTTTTCTATATGTCTACATTTCAACCCTTTCCATTCTATCTTTCTCTCATGAGAGATGATCAAGAAAAGTGATGTAACTGATGGGGATCTGTGCACAATTTCCCACTCAGATGAAGAAAAATAAAATCTATCGGATCTGACTTCACTGCTCCATCCACCTTCCTTAACTGCAGGGAGGGAAGAAGACAGACCTTTGTTCCAAGAGCCAGGGTCACTAACAGATCTAGCCAGGAAGTTATTTTCCAGGGAAAAGAAGTATCAGTCTCCATGCTAATCATTTATTATTATTTCTGTCTGAAGTTAATTGAAAAGGAGATTCTGGGAACAAAGTGTAGCTCAAGAAATTGAGCTTCATTCAAGTGTTCTGAGATTTCTTGTTCAGGTCAAGCTCTGCTTGCACCCAAGGTCAGCCCTACCCTTCTTTTCTTCAGTGTGACTATTTAGGCTAACTTCACTCTGTTTTGTATATAGAATCATAGAATCATAGAATTGCCCAGGCTGGAAGGGACCTCCAAAGGCCATCTAGTCCGACCCCCCCGCAGTCAGCAGGGACCCCCCCAACTAGACCGGGTTGCCCAGGGCCTCACCGAGCCTCTCCTTGAATATCTCCTTGAAAATCTCATTAGCTGATTTTTCTCAAGGTATCTAATTTAATGTATCCAGACCTGACTGCAATCTCCAGCTTTGCACATCATTAAGAGAGGAAATTATACAGCATTTCCATGAAATTTATGGCAGGGAAACTCCTGATTTTCACAGAAAGCTGGAAGCAGACTTTCAAACGAGACAAGAGCAAGGTAAAAATAAAGAATACTATATTCCCCATAGGAAAGACCCAAAAGTTGCATTCCCTGATTATTCCACTTTAAGTGTTCCAATGGTTGCTACCCTTATTTGTGACAGGTGGAGTCTGGAACAGAATCCAAATGCAAGCATGAAAGGAACCTGTTACTACTTTTGTCCTCGGGCAGGCAGGTTTATACACTACAATTATCAATATATTCTTTTTGTACACATCGCATCAGTTTCTAAATAGGTTATAGGGTCAGTCTTATACACAAGAAGCACCACAGTCCCCCTTTCTTTCGCGTGATGTGTAGTTGGCTGCTGGCTGCAAAGATGGAACCTCTCCCCTAACTGTACAGTAACTGCTCATCAGCCCTGCCAGAAAAAACAGGGCAAAAACGACTCCGTGCAGCTCTAGGAAATGTCTAGGGGATTTAAAAAGAAAAAAAAAAAGCGATGTCAGGCACCACAGAGAAGGTGGAGGAAAAGAATCTCCATGAAGGATTTTGCAAATAAAAAGAAGAAAAATAATTGCAAAATATATTCTTAGTCACAGGGCTGTTCTTGTGTGAACATGTCCAGAATATGTTGGATACAAACATATCCAATAATCTATTCTATGGATTCTACCCAGAAAATGACACAAAGTGTAAAATAAGGCTTCTTATTTTAAAAGGAC